TATTGAGGAGCTGTTGTTTTATAATGTCATAGTTTTAACTTTATAATAAACCGACGAGCTTGTAAGGACCGTTTATTGTCAAAATGTCTCAAAAAGTATTTGCCATGAGGGAAAAGTGTGTGTTCCCCCTCCCCCCTCCCATCTTTCTAGATGCTAACGCTTGAACAAAAAACATTTAAATTTCACTTAAAAAGAAGAATAAATAGAGGATAAAAGAGGGGGTCATTCGGTTTCGTTTTTACGTTTGAACAAGATAAGCCAAGACACAGCGATGCAGCCGAAAGCTGCGAAACATACAAACTACACTGTGTAGAGCTTTAAAACACGCAGCATCACGATAACAGAGCCTCGACCGACATGACGGTACACTTTGTGAATATTATTTTACCACGTATTGTTAAATATTGAGGATGAAGTGGAGTAAGAACCATATACTGTATATAAGAAGAAGGAGAGGAGGTTTTATCTCTATATTTTGTCAAAGAGGGCAGAAAAAACGTGTCAGGATTGTTTGTGTTTGTTTCTTTCTGAACGCAGCTTGACGAAGCAACGACTCGACTTTTAGAAGCTTTTATCTAATTTGGGGAGGGGGGGGGGGGGTTTGAGGGACGGGTTGAATGTCTTATGAGGATTAATAAACCTGAAAAGTTTCTAACATGTTGTCTTTGTCTTGATTTACGTTGAGTTGAGGGTATTCATGAAATGAGAAAGACTTGAATAATAAACTGTATTCTTTTATGATTAGCAAGTCAAGCCTTGTTACTTCTGTTAAAAATAGAGAATTGTCTTTATTTAAATTGTACTTTTAGTGCTTGTATGTTTGAAATGGGATAAGGACTGAAGCTACAGTATTTAAATAATATATAATATTTTATGGACAGAGATTTTTATCATGTAAAAAAACTGAGGCTTTAAATACTTCCAAATATTTGTTTTGTTATTGTTTTAATCTTTTGGGGGGTCATAACCAGTCAGTAATTATGCTATAACTCAAATATTCATTATTTATTTTTGCACTAGCAGATTTGACCAACAGATGGCGCTATTTCACTGTAAAATGCTTCAAAACGGCATGTTGCTTCAGGGGCACATTACTGGTAATGAGGTAGTATAAGAATAAGTATAAATAGTATAAGAATCAAGAGACACTTGAAGTACCACATTTAAAAGCATGTAGAATTTGTTGTTGTATTAATTGATTTAAAATAATTGATGCAATGTTTCATATGTATGTTACTTGATACTGGGGGTAGTCAAATCTGTAATCATATGTTACATTACATGTCATTTCTTAGACGCTTTTATCCAAAGTGACTTACATACATTCAGTACTGTGGCCAATCCCCACAGGAGCAATTTGGGGTGAAGTGTCTTGCCCAGGGACACAACGACATGCTGACTGCAGTGGGACTCAAACTTGCTATCCCCAGATCCGAAGTCCAGCACACTGAGCCACAGCCACCCCATATGTATATCATGTTTGTTAATCAAATTAAACCTGTCAGAATTAATGTAGTGACGTAAAAAGTAATAATTTCCCCTGAGATTTAAATCGAGGAGAATTAGCAGAGCGTTCAAATACTCCAGTGAAGTACAAGCACCTACACATTGTACAAAAGTGCAGGTTAAATATAAGCCTACAGGTGTTAAAACACACTTAATTTATTATGTATTATTAAGATTGTTTATTGATCCTCCTGTGAGAGTCAGCAGGTGATGTTTTCCCACAGTTCAGTCTGCCAGAAGGGGGCGGGGCCTGTCACTGTAACAAGCCAATGATGAGTGGGCGTGGAGCCGACGACTGATAAACATCTGAGCCAATCAGACAGTAACAGGTCCCAGAGGAGAGAGGGGGGCGTGTTTCAATTAGTGTGTGTGTGTGTGTGTGTGTGTGTGTGTGTGTGTGTGTGTGTGTGTGTGTGGTGTGTGTGTGTGTGTGTGTGTGTGTGTGTGTGGTGTGTGTGTGTGAGATGATGCTTCAGTCTCAGTTCCCACCTCTGTCTAGTTCTGCAGTGTTTTATTGTGTCTGTTTATCTGATCGGAGCATCTTTTCTGCTAAGTGACAACAGACAGAGAAGAGAAGTATTCAGGGCCTGTACATTTACTAAAAGCACACATAGAAAATAGTTTTCCTGTTTCTTTTAAATCCTTAGTTAGGTAAAAGTTTGTATCAGCAAAATATTCAATCAGTGTAACCCTAAATCTCCTGGAAACATCTACTGTAGTGGGTACCTTTGAGGTACTTTTTTGAGTACTCCACCAGGTGTTTTTATCTATGTCTGTGCACAGATTGTGTCACCTCGATAACATTACAATCATGCAAGACAGTCATGAAGCTTTACAGAAGTGTAGCGATGAAAATGATAGCCAATTTAAAAAATGGGAGTGTTAGTGACACTTTATAAGAGACCACCTGGTACGGTCGCCAACAGGTGCAACACGCTACAACGAACCAAACATTTCCATCAGGAGCAATGCAGCTTCAGAAACAATGCAAATATAAAAAACAAATGTGCCAAAAGACATGCAAATGAAGAAACATCTTCCCCGACTTGACAACACGTGTGCAGCATTCAGAAAACATTCACCAACCTGACGAAACATGCAAATTAAATGTGCAAATAAATGAAATGCTAAAAGAAGCTCAAAACACAACGTAAGCGGGGACACTAAAAAGTGACGCACACAGCTGGGAACGGAGCGCTTGTTGGCGTTCTGGGATTATAAAGTTTGGCCAAATGTCTCTGTTGTTGGAGAGTATAGATAAAATGTAGGTTTAAAGCTTATTTTAATGTGATCACTTCCTTCAGATAATATTGCAGATCTGCTGCAAGCTAGCTAGCTGATGTAGCTAACCTAGTCATTTCAAATACACTGACAAAAGTGTCGACAAACAAGTGCTGTGTGCGTCACTTTTTAGTGTCCCCTGGATTCGTGTTTTTTTAGTTTTTCGGGGGCTGCAAGCACATGTTTCTCTAAGGAAGTATTTTAGGCCGTTGTGTTTGCACCTGTCGGCCACTGTAATAACCTCATCTGTGGTAATAAAATCGACCGTAATTACCTCTGAGATGTAGAGAGTGGAAGTATAAGGTAGAATAAATTGAAAATAATCAAGTGACATGTGTTTTTTTACCTTTTCACCTCTGCTGACACAACAGATCAGATAAAGGGAGACAATGAAACGCTGTAGAAAGAGGACAGAGGTGGGAACTCAGACTGAAGCATCGTCACACACACACACACACACACACACACCACACACACACACACACACACACACACACACACACACACACACACACACACACCCACACACACACACACACCTAATTGAAACACGCCCCCCTCTCTCCTCTGGGACCTGTTACTGTCTGATTGGCTCAGATGTTTATCAGTCGTCGGCTCCACGCCCACTCATCATTGGCTTGTTACAGCGACAGGCCCCGCCCCCTCCTGGCAGACTGAACTGTGGGAAAAATAACCCTCAATGAATAGGATGATTAGTTTCTTGATTAATGGGGTAGTCTATAAAAGCAACGTCTTGAAATATTTTGATGTCAGTCCAAAATCCAAAATATCTCATTTCATTTGATACAAACATGGAAAAACAGAACATCTCTATTTTTCAGAGGCTTAAAACAGCATTTTCAAATATTTAACACTAACCCAGAGGTGGAAGGAGTACTTAGAGCTTGTACTTAAGTAAAAGTAGAAGTACCATAGTGTAGGAATACTCTGTTACAGTAAAAGTCCTGCATTCAAAATGTTCCTCAAGTAAAAGTAGAAAAGTATTATCATCAAAATATAGTTAAATGGTGCAATGGTGTCTTTACAGGTCTCACTAAAAAATCTATTAGAAAGATTCAGCTAATTCAGAACGCCGCTGCTCGAGTCCTCACTAACACTAAGAAAGTGGATCACATCACTCCTGTTCTGAAGTCCTTACACTGGCTTCCTGTGTGTCAAAGAATAGATTTCAAAATACTGCTGCTGGTTTATAAAGCACTGAATGGTTTTAGGCCCTAAATACATTTCTGACCTACTGCTAAATTATGAACCATCCAGATCTCTCAGGTCTTCAGGGACTGGTCAGCTTTCTGTCCCCAGAGTCAGAACTAAACATGGTAAAGCAGCGTTCAGTTATTATGCTCCAAATATCTGGAACAAACTCCCAGAAACCTGCAGGTCCACTACAACTCTTACTACTTTTAAATCCAAGCTGAAGACTTTTCTTTTTGTCGCCGCTTTTAATTGAACTATTCATATCTTAAACTGCACTGTAACTTTTATCCATGTATTTTTTCTTTTAATGTTTATTTTATTATCTTTTCTTTTTAATGACTGATTTTAAATGCCATTTTCCGAATGTCTTCCATTTTTGTAAAGCACTTTGAATTGCCTTGTGTTGAAAGGTGCTATATAAATAAACTTGCCTTGCCTTGCCTTGCCTTGCCTTAGAGTAGTGACAGTAAAAGTAGTCATTGTGCAGATTGCTCCATTTCAGAATAATATATATGATATGTTTTATAATGATTGATCATGAAAGTGTTCTCAAAGCTGGTAAAGGTGCAGCTAGTTTGAATGACTTTGTATACTGCAGGGTAGCTTGTGAATTTACTCCAGGTGGAACTACAGTCTGATTTAACACTTGGTCATATTTCACATCATTCATCCACATCTGTGAAGTAACTAAAGGTATTAAATACATGTAGTGGAGGAAAAGTACACCATTTACCTCTGACTTGTAGGGAGTAGAAGTACAAAGAAGTATACAAATGATATACTCAAGTAAACACAAGTACAGTACTTGAGTAAATGTACTTACTTTACACCTCTAAGTTTCTACTCTTGTTTCTTGCTGTCCAGCATTTTGTTTTTGAACCCTGCTATATTGTAAACATGGTATTTACCTCAATGTATTTTTTAAACAAACTAAACAAATAAATGCATTATTAAACATCAACACGTATAACATATTCAAATAAATCACTGAAAGTGTCATTTTTTATAAATATTTATTGATCTGTAACCTCACAGAACATTTTGCATCACAGATGAAAATAATCAACAAACAGCACACATAATAAAATATTTTACAAAAGTGTTTAAAAACAATAAAAGCACCAACAGTTCCTTCACAATAAAAGAAACTCAATCTGGTTTACTGATTATTCTGCTTCTTCTTCTCTGACAGAAAAAAACACACATCACAGCATCTCGTTATAACAGAACACAATCTAGCATTTTAATAATGAATCTAATAATGAATTAATACTCCACTATGTGAATATCACATGAACTCTCAGTCCGATACAACAATATGCGTTTTCAAAGGACTGCTGCACTGTTTTAATGAATACTTCATCATCTTTGTTCACCTCTCCAGGTCCATGGGCGAGAGTGCTCCCCCCACTGCCTCCTCTCCCACATAGGAGCACAACACACAGACTCAAATTATCACAAATAGTATATTTTGAGTTAATTGAGTTTTTGGGTCTCTTTGTGATCATTTTCAGACATTCTGCATCCAGTTTGAATCATTTAGCATCTCTTTAGACATTTTGTATCTATTTGTAGTCATTTTGTGTCTCTTGTTAGTCGTTTTGCCTCTTTATGTAGTCGTTTTGCAATAGTTTTCATTTTGCATTCACTTGTAGTTCTGCTGCATCCATTTTGAGTTGTTTTGCATCCATTTGCAGACACTTTGCATTTTTCAATGGTTTTGCAGCAGATTTCAGTCATACTCGTACTCTTTGTGGTCATTCTGTCTGTTTTGCAGTTCTTTGTAGAGATTTCAAGTCTCTTCCTCGATAACACGTTTCTTTGAGTGTCATTTTGCAGTGGGGGGCCCCAGACGCTTTCAGCCCCCGGCCCATTAAGACCCTTCATTACTCCATCCATGGCTGGAGGAACTGCAGAAGTCCTCCACAGTCCTGCTCGTCCATCAGACCGTCTCCACAGCTGGAGTTCGGAGACGACCCTTCTTCCTCCTCCTCCTCCTCCTCGTCTTCCTCCTGATCCACGCTGCCCGAGCGGCCCCTGGTTGCCACGGTGACGCCGTCCTGCTCCGTCACCACCTGCTCCAGGAAGCCGATGTAGCGCAGGGCGAGGCGCAGGATCTCGTTCTTGCTGAGCTTCCTGTCGGGGGGGGTGCGTTGGGATGAGGCTCCGCAGGTCGCTGAACGCTCCGTTAACGTTCGGCTGACGCCAACGCTCCCGACTGTTGGTGCATCACCTGACGGGGGAGAGAGTCTGAGGGGGAGAGAGGAGAGGGAGATGAGGTCAGCTGGAGGCACGAGGTCCTGAACAGGAACCATTTTTAGATTTTGATCATTATCATTTTTGTACGATCATATTGTCCCTTGCATGATGCACGATCAATAACAAAAAAAAACCTACAATGTTCAATCAATTCTGCTTTTTTGTGATGATTACAATTATTAGTAGGTTTCAGTGTGTGATTTTAATGTGTTTTCCAGATGAATCCTACGTGTTTACGCATCTTTTCTCATGTGACATCATTCCAGGTATACTCTGTGGACATTGTAATATCAATTCCTTATTTTTACAATATATTTATTTAAGGTCAATGTTTGTGGTCGTATTTCCATCTGTCTTATCTTTTTTGTTTAAGTAGGGTACAATGGATAAATTAACTTTGATATAAAATCGAATACGATGTGTTCTGGTTGTAAACTCACCGGGACTGATCTTGTATGAAGTCGTTCTTTGTTTCATCTTGATGCTTTGATCTGGATCAATGCTGAGAGAAACACAGAGATAGATTTTATAGTTAGAAACACACTTTAAAAACACATCAGTTTGTCAAAGATATCGATGTCATGTTGTTTAAAGCAAATAATATATAGTGACTGCTTCCTGTCTTCCATAGAAAGGTCAAAGGTCAGAGAGAATATAACTGTACTGACAGGTTAACAGAATCATGTTTTGTTGAATATTTACAGTGACTAACTTCAGTGTTTACATTAGTTTGATATTTCTTAATCGACATGAAGGATCCCAGCACAATGCATATTCTCTTTACTGTGAACTCGTGTACATCCCCCTATTATTTTGTACAACCTGCACAAAACTATATTATATATTTTACATATGTGATTGTACTTTTGTATATTGTCTTTTTTTCTCTATTCTATATTTGAGATTTTTTACTTTTGCAGTAAGCTATACTTTGCATTGTATTTTATGTATTTGTTATTAATGTGTTTATTGATTATCATGCTATAAACACCAAAAGCAACCTACTACTGCCTGATTCAATTCGAATTTGTTGTTATAATTATACTGAGTTCAGAGTGGGCTACTGTAATACAAGTTTTCAGTGTAAACTAAATACAAGATATACATACCACAACCGTAGTCAAATAATAAGCAGGCATAACAAACAAACAATTCACGTTAAAAACAAGTATTTTCTGTCTCACCTGTGAGGGTGTGGAAGTCTCGTCTAATCAGGGGAGGTCTCAGCTGGTTGATCCGGGTTTGGCGCTGTGTTTTCCGGGGCAGCAGTCAGTCGGTTGTCCGGTGTCTCTCTGGAGCTTCAGGTTCCTTCTGTCTCCTCTCGTCTCCTCCTCGTCTGTTTTATACTCAGCGTCCCGCGTGCCTCTCTGCGTGTCGTGATGCGTCGTTTCCATAGAGATGCCATTAATTGTAGACAGTCCCATTAACCCGAGGGTCCCAGGAAGCAGCACCCCAGGGACCCGCAGGAGCCAGAAGGGCCGCCTCTCCCCCCCCCACCCCGCTGAAGGAGTCGTGTTTTCCGGCGTCTCCGTCACGACCCGGAGCTCTGCCTGGTTCTCGCCCCAACAAACACACCCCTTATTCACTATCTGCTGTATTTATCTGGGACAACTCATGCTAGAATATTCCCACCATGCAGCAAGTGAAAGGTGAACCTATCATCTACAAATAAATATGTTTAAAATTGTGAATGCTTTGACTGCTTAACTTTAACAACATTCGATCGATATCTACCAAAATTCAAAAATGACAGTCATGATAGTATTTTGAGAAAAGACTCATTATTTTATCGCCCCGACAAACACACCCCCTTTTCACTATCTGCTGTATTTATCTGGGACATCTCAGCTACAAATACATGTTATAAATTGTGAATGCTTTGAGTTTTTTTTAATTAGAATATTTGCTATTAAAGCCATTTATGTGCCAACAAGCCTATTTGAACATTTCACTTGAACAACATTCGATCGATATCTGCCAAAATTGAAATGTGTTCATCTTTATTTTTAAAACAGCCAATACGGAGCTCTGGCTGGTTGTCTCCCCAACACACACACACACACACACACACACACACACACACACACACACACACACACACACACACACACACACACACACACACACACACACACACACACACCACACACACACACACACACACACACACACACACACACACACACACACACACACACACACCCTTTTTCACTATCTGCTGTATTTATCTGGGACAATTTATGCTAGAATATTCCCACCACCAGCAGCAAATGAAAAGTGAACGTCTCAGCTTCAAATAAATATGTTTAAAATTGTGAATGCTTTGAGGGTTTCTTAAAAGATGTTCTATTATAGTAATTTTGTGTATCTGTGCCAACAAACCTATTTGACCAACAAGTGCAACAAGTGACCTATAGGGATGCTTTTTACAATGAAATTGATCCTTTTCATTGTCTAATACTTTGTACTTCAATTAATACATTTCAAAGGCAAATGTTTATATTTTATCTGAGTACTTTATTTTACAAATTCAGATTAGTGATAGGCTACAAGTATAATCAACTATGTCGAATTTTGAGAAAGACTCATTATTTTACGATGAAAAATAGGGAAAAGTCAGAGTATAATATGTCGGAAAAAATCATAGTATAGTATGTAACATGACAAAAACACAAGATAATAATGCCGAAAATATCATGAAAGAAGTCTCTGTTAAAATGAATAGTATAATGGGTTGAAAATATCATGAAAGTGTAGTATTTGGAAAAATATAGAAAAGGTAATAGTATAGTAAGTATGAAAAAAGTCATAATATAGTATCTCAAATTTTTGTTTTGCATCTGGTTGATCGTTGATCGTGTTTGTAGTCATTTTTGGTCATTTGTGGTCATTTATTTTCCTTTCTACTTTTTTTTGTACGTTTTATTAATTAAGTTGTACTTTGTTCCCCTTGAGCCTGTGTCCTGGTTAAAATGTCAGAAATGTTTCCCTGTGAGGATGTTGATAATCAAAGAGGAGACTCAGTAACAGATGATTTGTGTTGAAGAGGCTCCCCCTGCTGGCTTCAGGACACACTGCTCATCCATACAATACTGCTCTTTTCTTTTCTTTATATTGTCAAGCCCTGGGGCATCACCACATGAGTTTAAAATGGCTTCAAATGGAAGAAAAAGTCTCAACTTGAAAATGCTGGCAACATATTTGGATGTTTGTTTTCAGTTAATCCATAAATTAAATGATGTATTGATCATGGTTGGATGGAGATTGAGATCTAGAGACTGTTTCCATGGTAAGAGAGTTGTTTATATATGGTTATAAACAGAGGTGGGAAGTAACTAAGTAGATTTCCTCAAGTACTACTTAAGTACTATTTTGAGATACTTGTACTTTACTAGAGTATTTCAATTTGTTAGTACTTTTACTGCACTACATGTATGTAATCCCTTTAGTTACTTTACAGATGTGGATGAATGATGTGAAATCTAATCAAGTGTTAAATCAGACTTTAGTTCCACCTGGAGTAAATTCACAAGCTACCCTGCAGTATACAAAGTCATTCAAACTAGCTGCACCTTTACCAGCTTTGAGAACACTTTCATGATCAATCATTATAAAACATATCATATATATTATTCTGAAATGGACCAATCTGCACAATGACTACTTTTACTGTCGCTACTTTCAATATATTTTGATGATAATACTTTTCTACTTTTACTTGAGTAACATTTTGAATGCAGGACTTTTACTGTAACAGAGTATTCCTACACTCTGGTACTTCTACTTTTACTCAATTACAAGATCTGAGTATTTCTACTTTTACTCAAGTACAAGATCTGAGTACTTCTACTTTTACTCAAGTCCAAGATCTGAGTACTTCTAACTTTACTCAAGTACAAGATCTGAGTACTTCTACTTTTACTCAAGTACAAGATTTGAATACTTTTACTTTTACTCAAGTACAAGATCTGAGTACTTCTCCCACCTCTGGATATACATTATTATTATAAAGATATTTACATCTTAGATACTTTTGTACGAATGACAGTGAGGTTGTAGTGATCGGTGCAGACCAGCAGGTGTCAGTGTCTCTCTAAAGTTGAAACATCTGGAGTTAGTTAAATCTGCCAAACATAAATGAATAAATTACTCAATCAATTCATGAACAGGCCATTACATGTACCAAATAAATTAAAATAACATTCCATATATTTATTATTTATTATTCATTTATACATAAATGTATATCTGATAAAATACGTTTACTGTATTTTTTTTCATTTTAAATATACTTATGTATAATTTTTACTTTGCATTTCCCCATAATTTATTTCTGTTTTATTTATTTATGCATTATTCTTCCGATTTCCACAGTACATCTCTCGTTGTGTATTTCCCATGGGTGGTTCTAGGGGGGGCCAACCGGGGCCAACTCCCCTGTGGCCCCCCTCCAAAAGTTTAAATCTATGATAATGCAATGAATGTAAAACAAAGTTAACAGGGATTTTTTGAAAGTTACTGAAACAAATATGAAGAAATAAGATACAAATAAAGTTTGGCTGCATAAATAATGTATTTATTACAACAAACGTGCTCCTCACACACACACACTCGTTTAATTACTTTGGATTGTGAATACAAATTAGGCGTTTTTTGTCTCTCGTAGGAATAAATGGGACAAAGAACAACGTTTATTTTTAGTGGAACATTGTTTTATTGGTGAATTTATCAAACACAGATTCATACACTTCTTAACATTTTCTCTCTGAAATTATCTTCAAAGTAAATTCAGTAAATGTATTTTTTTTTCTCTGCTCATGCAGCGCAGAAAAAAATGTCCTGAAGAGGCCCGATGACCTCTGACCCCCTCGTTAGGTCTTTAGCCAATCAGATAAATGCATTCTTTTACATGACTTTATAAGCATCCAATAAGAAAATATACAAAAACAGATTTTTTTGTCTTTCAGAGAATAGAATATGCAGACATTTTGATGTAGAAAAACATTTCCTTTTCAGAGACACTGTAAACCAGACAACAGGGAGGTCTCACCCCCGCTCATAAAACCACCTTCTGAACTTTTTTCCGTAGTTTTTCTTTCCTGCAGTTTCTTAAACATCTCTTACGCCACGAAAAAACTGATTCCATCCACACGAAAAGGACGATGAACTGGAAAAAAACCCACCAAAAACCTTTATTCATCAACAGAACCAGAAAGCACAGGACTACAAAGACCAGAATGCATTGTGATGCAAGCAGGAACAAAGAGGAAAACAACAACAACAGCAACAACAACAACAAACATCCGACTGATTCCTTCATGAAATTCATATCTTATATGAATTTTGTCCTGCGTTTTTTTTAAACTGAAAAATGGCACAAAAATGTAAAATAAAAACTTGAAATTTCACTTTTTTTTCTACCTAAACGAACGAAACAAAGTCAGTTTTGCTTCTGTCCGTCATCCATCACAGTGCGTTCGTTTTATATAGATACTGCATTTCCCAGCATGCCCCTGCTCGTCCACAAACACAAGGACACACTCTTCCTCCATCAATGAAGACGGAGGGACGGTATGGAGAGATGAAGAGAAAAAACCAAAACGTCCTCCCGTCCACACGGTGTTGCTGCTTCCCAGAAACCAAGTCATTGAGTCACAAAAAATTCAGCACCAGTGGGAAAAAGGCCATTTTTGATTGGTTCAATTTAGTTTTGCGCTTGACATTCGTTTTAATTTTTACCACAAAACGACACAAGTTAGAAAAAAAAATGGATGTGACTCCTCCACCTGATATAGCCCCACCCCCTTTTGGCAGAAGTGGGCGGGGCCACAATGACACCTGTAGCTGCTGTATGACTTAACCTGCTAATAGAAAAGTTTAACAATAGTCTTTGGCAGATTTACAGAAATAAAAGGCCGTCTGCTGCTGAAGTTGGGCAAGAGACATGATGAAAAAGATTGACAAGTCTTTTTTGTTTTTTGTATTCAACACTGAAAGCGATTACTGTCACAGAAATGAGCCACAATGTCCGAAATGATCAGAAAATGTATCAGACACTTTAGATTCAGGGTGAATATGTCATTATGTATGCATGTAGCCTATATATTTGTATACAAAGTCTTGTAACATTAAGTTAGTCTTTGAAGATATGTTAGCTTGTCATAGCTACGTTAGCATAGGTCTTTAAAACTGGTTAGCTCATCAGGTTCTCTGAAGCTACTTAAGCTTGTTAGCTTATTCCTTAGCTTAACCTGTATGTCTGTGAGGCTACGCTATGTTGCCCAGTATGTCTGTGAAGCTAAGTTAGTTCATCCTGTACAGTATGTCTGAGAATCTACGTTAGCTTGCCCCTATGTCTGTGAAGCTAAGTTAGCTCATCCTGTATGTCTGAGAATATACTTTAGCTCATCCTGTATGTCTGCAAATTTACATTATCTTGCACTGTATGTTAGCTTGCCCCTACATCTTTGAAGCTAAGTTAGCTTATCCCATATGTCTGTCAATCTGTGTTAGCTGATCCCTGTATGTCTGTGAGGTTACATTAGATACCCCTGTTTGTCTTTTAGCTTAAGTTAGCTCAGCCTGTATGTCTCTGAACCTACGTTAGCATGTCCTGTGCGTCTGTGAAGCTACTTTAGCTCATCCTATATGTCTGTGAATCTGTATGTTAACTCCTCCCATATTTCTGTGAAGCTACGTTAGCTTGTCCTGTTGGTCTGTAAAGCTATAGCAGCGCAGGTCTGTGCGGCTACACTTGTAACGCATTACTTTAAAAGCTACATAAACCCGCTGTCCCTCTGTGATACTACGTTAGCTCTTCCCCTTGTCTATGAAGCTACAAAAGCTTGACCCATTGGTCTGATGCTACATTAGCGTGACAAGAAGTTCAAATATTAAGTACAAATATTTCGTTTTCCGTCAGTCAGGTCTCAAACTCTGTGAGATGTGTTCTACCAGCAGTTGTGAGATAAATATGTAAGTTTGAAAATGTCACCAATGACATCCCAACAAGTTAGTTTCACCCTTTATGAAGGGTTAAAGGTTCCATGTTAACTTTTGCTACATGACCTGCTGTGTTTGACAGTTGTGGCTGGTTTCTGTGACTGTAGTCATCAGTGCAAAGAGATCAAACGGATGTAGGCTGCAGCAGAACCGAGAGCTGCCGGTGAACGCTGCTCCGACTGAAGCTGACGTCTTAGAGTTTCTTTATGCTGCTGATGATCCGTCTTTTATTGAAGCTGTGATGAAAATCCAAAGATTATAAACAGCCTTGATGTGTTTCACTTCTCCTTGGACTGAAACTGGACTCCACTGACCGTCATGTTTACCTAATTTCCCCCAGCGGGATAAATAAAGTATTCTGATTCCAGGCAAATATTTGGCACAAATCTGTGTTTCTAATATTGTGTTTTGGGACTTTTTAAGATGTTGCCTTTTTTACAATTATTCAGGCATTTTATAAACAATGAATGCGGAAAATAATGTTTAGTCATTGCCTTAATATATGTGTTTGTATATATATATATTTGTATGCATCAGTGTTAACATGGGGGTCAATGGAGTCTGGACTTTGTCGGAGCAGAAACATCCATCACAGAGCGTCTCCTGGCTCCTCCCCCATTGACCTTGGCCTCCTCTGATTGGCTGAGCTGCTGAGTGGCGTTCAGGTGAAGGTCGGAGGTCAGGGAGAGGAGGGCCTTGCTGTATTAGTTTCCTGTCTCAGGGAGGACGGAGAGCAGTCCAACAGCAGGAGGAAGAGGAGCAGAGCAGGAGGTGCTATGAGGAGATGAAGAGGAGGAGGAGCAACATGGCGGGCAGCAGGGAGTTACCGGGCAGAACGAGGCTGCATCCACCGGTGGTGTCGTCCGTCAGGAAGGGCTCCGGAGACTCATACACCGAGTCATCTGAAAGGACAGACAAATATTTATTATCAGATGTTTAAAAGGTCCCCTATTATACTGTTTTTCATCAATATATTATAGGTCTCAGATATATACAGACCCTGTCTCTGATTGGCTAAAACACCAAACAGATCATTGCAGCATCCCATAATCCCCTCTGTTTCAGCCCTGTTTCCAAAGTGCTGATTCTCTGTCTGTTACTTTAGATGAAAATAAGGAGCCCCTCCCCACGCCCCTCTCAGAGATATTTGGTTAAAAAGAACACAATGGTGCTCTAGGAGGAGATTCAGGTGATAAGGGGGGGGGGGGTTACCTTGGTTGCCGATTTTGACTTTTTTTATGGAATAATATACACTATGGCTTTTCATAATATTTTCTTTGTGCTATACTATGACTTTGTATGAATGTCTTATGACTTATAATACTTTCACTTTTAATGCCATACCATGAAACTTTCTGATATAATAGACATTACTTAGATTACTTTTTGTGACATACCTATCAATGACTTTAAAGAAAAAAATATGACATGCTATTCTTTTGTAAAAAATAATCTGACATACAATAATATAACTTTTTATGACACACTTTACCCAAATTTCTTTCTGACATACAAAACAATTGTCATAGTAAACGATTTCATAGAAATGTAACCGTTTAGTATTGCATAAAAAGTCAATATTGTAGAGCATTTAATATTTAATTTCCTTAATATGTCATAAGTCATAGTATATATATGAATAAATCACAGGTTTTGTAGAACAAAAAAAAGTAATGTAACGAGACTCACTGGTGGGTTTGACGTAGATTTTGAGCTTCAGACACGGTTTCCCAGCCAGACTTGGATGTGGAGACGCTGCAGAGACAACAGAGACACGTCAGCTTTTTGAACATTAAAGCATGGAAACATGTCACAGTGAAGACACTAAATACTAATATGACCCTGGAAATGAGCAGAATAGGGCCTCTTTAAAAGAAAATACTCAAGTACATCACACGTACCTCCAAAAAACTACAGTATGTGAAACATTTGGACTTAATGGTCGTTATTTAAACATTAGCCTGATGTTTCTTTGTTTTCTCTGCTGTAACTCAGAGAGCAGCAGCTGTTTGACCCTGACACGCAAACACGCAGGCACGCACACACACACGCATGCACGCACACACACACACACACACACGCATGCACGCACACACACACACACACACACACACACACACACACACACACACACACACACACACACACACACACACACACACACACACACACACACACAGTCATTAAGTGTCATTTAAAACAAACTGCCAGTTTCTCTTCTGGGAGCTCTTTTGCTCCAAATGAGGCACAATTTAGAAAATATTTTCCAGGTTGGACGACAAATTATGTCTAGACAGAAACACACACACACACACACACACACACACACACACACACACACACACACACACACACACACACACACACACACACACACACACACACACACACACACACACACACACACACACACACACTCAGTAACACACGTAATGGCAGCAGTGTGTGATTCTGTGTTTCAAACCGTGAACATGTTGGTTATATTAGGCCACATAAACATTTACTGAGCTCTGATGCTATTTTTTACCTTGTTTTAATCCTTTTATACACATAAATACTAAGAGTGTGTGAGCGTGTGGTATAAACCTGACATGGCTATTTAAGAAAAACACAAACAAAGGTGAATATAAACATATATTTGAGATAATGTAAGATAGATAGATAGTTTAAGAGCCTGTGTACTTTAGTTATTTATACAATTGTAAATAAGGCAATGTCCTCCCCTCTGTGTCCCCATTTCAACTGTATACATCTCTGGCCCGAAAATACCTTTATAAACCGGAGATTTAGAGTAGAAAAACTGTTGAAATGTATTCCAGAAATATCACTGTGCAAAACACACCGGCCAATTTTGACCGAAAATAGTATGGGAAGGGGGGTATGACCTCCTAACGCAAGAGAAGTGTTAATTTAAAGTGGACCTATTATGCTATATTGGAAAAATATATTGTAGGGCCATACCTATACAAAACATGTCTGTGAAGTTTTTTGCTTCAGATACCAAACAGATCACCCATTGTAGCCATCCCTCATACTGCTCAAACCCCTCTTTTGCAGCCCTGTTAGAGAAATGCAGATTTTGTGTCCTTAGCTTGAAAAAAAAAAAAAGAGGAGGCGGAGCTAATGCCTGATCAGAATTCTACCGGAGATAAAGTTAAATTCTGCTGTGATAAAACGCCATCCTGTTCTAAACCACATCAAGGATTATTTCTGAAACCGTATGGAGCTCAAATGCTTTTTCTCTTGCGGGTTTATCACAAGGTGAGTTCCTTTTTTTATTTCCTGCTTTTTAAACACATGTGCTCTACAGTACAGGTTAGCTCTGAGTGTTAGCGAGCCTTGCTAATGTAAACAAAGACGTCCAAAACACGTCAGGCATTGTTTCTAATAGCAACTTTCTGTGGGTCCGCTGCCGATTTGACGTCAGTTCGGATGGAATCTGTATCCGCTCGTTGTACCCCCGTTTTTAAAAGATTTGGGTATGGAGGAAAAGAGAGAGGGTTTTATTTTCTGACGCTACGTGAGTTCCCCGACGCACCGGGGACACATATGTATGTATAAAAGACATCACAAAGTGCATTTTGCATGATAGGTCCCCTTTAATATAACCAATTTTAAAAATGCTTTTCTGATCGACACTTCAAAAAGTCTGGAAGCAGAGGGAAATGATTAGCCTGGCTCCATTAAAAGATAAAGACAATCTTTTAAAGATTTTCAGAGAGTGTGTTTCACATGTTGCATCGCGTTGTTACACACTGATGTACTTAACATGTTGAGCAGGTGTGGAACAAAGGAGGGGGGGGGGGGGGGGGGGGGTGTAATCGCCTTATTAAAACCAGAAGCTGTTTGTCCCTCAGTGCTAATGATAATGCTTTTAGCACCACATGTTTAAAAGCCTGTAATGATAACACACACACATGAACACAAACACACACGCCATAATCTGTCTGATAAACACATCATTAAAGCTCTTATCAGCATGTTGGGAAGAGGACACTGTTTACTAAGTGACATTTGTTACAGAGGCCATCTGAGGTCAAGTGGAAGCAGCAGACAGAGGGGGGTCAATTCAAGTTGAGGACACGTTCCCTCCGTAAACACACTTTTATACCTTTTCATTCAAATGAAAGAGGGACAGAAGGTTCAAACAGTCCGATTCAGTCTGAATTCACCTTATGTAGTGTTAGTGGTAAATACAAAGCACATTTTCACCCTCCATGAACCCAAAATAAACAGATATATTAGCAATAAAAAGAATACATGGATGCTGAATGTGCTCAGAGTTATTAAGTATTCACAGATGTGGTAGTAATCACTTATGCTCAGTAGTTTACAGTGTGTTATATTCACATATAGTAGTACTCTATATGTGTAGTGCTCACAGATGTGGTACTCAGTGAGGATCAGTAGGATATAGTGTCTCTCAAAGTGTTACTAATTATGAATTGAGAATAGTATTCACTGTGGTATTAGTACTCAGTGTGTAGTACTCACAGATGTAGTAGTACTCATTGTATTTATTCACAGATGTATTAGTACTCAGTGTGTGTACTCACATATGTAGTTGTTCTTGGTGTGTGTATCTATACTCGGTTTGTGTACTCACAGACGTAGTAGTACTTGGTGTGTGTACTCACAGACGTAGTAGTACTCAGTGTGTGTACTCACATATGTAGTCGTTCTTGGTGTGTGTATCTATATTCGGTTTGTGTACTCACAGACGTAGTAGTACTTGGTGTGTGTACTCACAGACGTAGTAGTACTTGGTGTGTGTACTCACAGATGTCGTCGTTCTTGGTGTGTGTATTAGTACATGGTGTGCGTACTCACAGATGAACGGTGTTGTAGTACTTGGTGTGTGCACTCACAGGTTTATATGTACTCAGTATGTGTATTTACAGGTGTATCTGTACTTTGTGTGTAGTACTCACAGATGTAATAGCACTTGTTGTGTGTGTATAAGTACTCGGTGTGTGTACTCACAGATGTAGTAGTACTTGGAGTGTCTATAAGTACTGAGTGTGTGTACTCACAGATGTAGGAGCACTTGGTGTGTGTATAAGTACTCAGTGTGTGTACTCACATATGTAGTAGTACTCAGTGTGTGTATTCACAGATGTAATAGCACTTGTTGTGTGTGTATAACTACTCGGTGTGTGTACTCACAGATGTAGTAGTACTTGGAGTGTCTATAAGTACTCAGTGTGTGTACTCACAGATGTAGGAGCACTTGTTGTGTGTGTATAAGTACTCAGTGTGTGTACTCACAGATGTAGTAGTACTCGTGTCCCGGCCTGAACTCGAAGCCCAGGCTGAAGGGAGTGAAGAGCTGGAACTTCTCGGAGAACTTGAGCGGCCCGTTGGGGCTCTGCGGCCGGTTGCACTCCCAGCGCTTGAAGCCCTTTCGGTGGTGATCGCAGGACGTGTACCCGTCGTAGTTCACCATGTACAGGATGTAGTGCTCCATGCGGTCTGAGGGCTCCGGCCACTCGTAGTGCGGACAGTAGATGTCCAGGTAGTCGTTGATTGCCACCTCAACCGTGTACTCGCCCCGGAAAAACCTGAAGAGGAGGAGGAAGAGGAATGATGTAATTTGTTTAATTAATGAATGTATCTATTGTTTCCTGTTAAAGTAAGTAATAAATCAAACAAAAAATAAATACAATAATGAAGTAAGGACATGAATAAAACACGAATAAACATAAACATAAAATAAGTGAATTGTCAATTAAATACAATTTATTTATTTTGTTGCGGTTGCTATGCAGTTAAAAGCAAGTCAGAGGTTAACACATATATAAAAGTGATTGGATCTTTGTCAGTGAAATGCATTCTGGGAATCGTAGTTCACATCTCTCTATCAGTTATTATTTCCACAGGCTTCTTGCATATGTTATTTTCTAAATAATGTATTTGTTAGTTTCCTTCCAACAGTACTTATTGTTTTACCAGAAAATACGTATTTAAATACTGTATAAATACATTCAAGTATGCTGCTAAACACACCAAGAGCCTCCATTTGACTCCAACACATGGAAACCATTTTTCAATGCCTGTGTGTGTGTGTGTGTGTGTGTGTGTGTGTGTGTGTGTGTGTGTGTGTGTGTGTGTTTGTGTGTTTCCTACAGACCCCCCCGAGGTTTCTATTAATCAAAACTAACTGTTTATCAAAGATTTGTCGTGTTTACAAGACGGAGATCTGACTCACTTCCTGCCCGCTTTGAAATATTTAGACGGTAATCAACGTTTTTTTTTGAACATCAACAGTTGTTTCACAGTTCAGCTTCACAAAGACAAAGAGACTTAGGGAAACTGGACAAATATAAACACACACACACAACACACACACACACACACACACACACACACACACACACACACACACACACACACACACACACACACACAGTCGAGACACAGTCGAGACACTGAAATAAAGTTTCCTCGTAGCAGAAATAAATATATGTGAAACATGTCGAGTGAATCTGTAGAAAGCGTTTCTTTGTTTCTCACAGCTGCTCCGTGACACTGTTGCTGTAATTTACATAATGTAATTGAGTTCAAACACAGATTCTGTCACACAAACCTCCTTATTATTACACACGATCGTCATCCAGCGATCGATCCGGGGAAACAAACTAATCAAACTTCCAGCGTCTCTGAATATTCATGTCAGAACAACAATCAACACTGGAGCTAAAGTCCAATCAACAGAGCTAATTGAGATTCTGGTAATGAGGTTTAAGCTGATTTACTTCCCCACGGTGCTTCCTGATTGGCTGATCAATCCAAGTTTAATCACAACTTATTTAAAATGCAGCTTTCATTTAACAAAATAAAGGTTTGATTTACATGTTTGACAAGTGTGTTTGACGCCCATGCAATCAAACTGATCTGTCACAAAGTAAAACATCTCGTCACACACTCCCATCTTATTAAAGTGTGTTGACTGATTTCTGCTCCTAATCAGTTCGGTCTGTAGGGGGCGCTCTCTCAGAATACTTTAGGGAGGGCATTTATCCTGCAGCTCACATCAAAAACTGCTTCGTATGCCTTTTCCCCCTCATTTTGCCTTAAATAAATACCTGCAGACCCTACTCAGGGCTGAATAACCCACAAACAACTGTCACTATATATACAAATCACAATGTATCAATGATTTTAATCTAGTATGCTTTTATACTAATAATATATTATTCTGACATTAGTAGTATATTAATTAAAAGGGTCATTCTCCATGATGAGTATTTTTACATGACTTGTAGGATGGGGAGTTATTTAAAGTATTTAAACACTGTAGTATTACACATTTTACGGCTGTAAGAAAGTACTTCTTCTACCACTGGTTACTATTTTATATTTAAAGCGTATCTCTGTCTGCATTGCAGGTTATTTTTATGCTTTTCGCTGTACAATGTTTGCATATTTGATGAGAAATGTTGCATATTTCTGCACTTCAGAAGACTGCATAGCTTTTTCATTTAAGTTCTGATATATTGGACATATTCTTGTATTATTGTTTCATATTTTGATGGTAATTTTCATGATGTTTGCTCTTTTAAAGTGTCCTTTTCTCTTATTTAGTGTGACATTCACCAAAACACAAGACTTAATATTCCCTTTATGTGAAAACCAACTTGACATTTAACCATATTGTGATTATTATAGCATAATTATGACTTAGATTTCAAATAAAAGTTCAAATCAAGTTTTATTTATAAAGCACATTTAAAAGCGATTTTTGGTCGAGCCAAAGTGCTGTACATGTAATAAAAACACATTACTACAATCACAATAATTTCATTACATTTTAGTTTAGCTACTGAGAATGTCTTTTATACAGAAATGAGATAAATGGACAAAATCAAGACTATGAACTTCTGCAGTTCCTTGAAAATCCAGCAAACCTTTTGTTTTTGTAATTTAGGATTACATAGAGGAAGCTGTGGTTCAGTGGAGCACTTGAGTCAATCAATCAACCAATCAACAAATCAATCATCGATCATCAATCAATCAATTGGGTAAAAGCGTCTAACAAGTGACATGTAATCTATAATGTAACATAAAGTGATATAAATGAACTTCAGATTCTGATTTCATCTTGTTGTTAAAGCATAATCATGTCTTATATTTAAATGTCCATCCATCACTGTGACACATGCAATGCACAGAATCAAGTTTCTGACGTCTACTTTGCGATGTTATTCTAGTTCGGTAATAAATAAATGAATCTTCCCCTACAGCCTCTTCCGTCTGTATTTTTAGCCGAGCTTCCTGAAAGCGTCACGTTGGATGAACACAGCAGTTATTTTTGGCCCTAATGGAGCTCCGTATAATTGAGTTTTTCTTAATGATTGAAAACACTTTAAGTTTCCCTTCAGAGTTTTCTGAATCACGGCGATGATTATTCCCGTGTGACCTGAACGCAGCATCGGGGCGCGGTCCTGATGGAGGTCGATCAGCTGGAAACATCCTGCTGAACGAGGACTTTCTCCTCTGCCTCTCCGCTAACACCATTAGCAAAGTGCATGCTAACCGAGTTAGCTGAAGGATAGGGTGACGCTGACAGGCGGTGCGTTCACTGAACTCTGGACCCTTCAGCGCTCACATCATCACTCATCACTCTAATGGAGAGAGCGCTGTGTCCCTCACAGCTGGCCGAGGGACCAGCGGGTTCACCCTCATCTTCGTCTTCCTTTTGACCATCATCTTCATCTTCATCATCATCATATTCTATTTCTTCTTCATCATCATCTTCATCATCTTCATTATCACCATCTTCTTTATCATCTTCATCTTCATTATCACCATCATCTTCATCATCTTAATCCCATCATAAGCTTCATTATCATCATTTAAACTGAACCGAGCAGATTATTGTAAAATTTGAATTTCAACAGGAAGTAACTAAATATCTAACCTTACAATTTGTAGGTACTTTAAAGGGGACCTATCATGCAAAATGCACTTTTGTACGTCTTTTAAACATGAATATGTGTCCCCGGTGTTCCAGGGAACTCACCAAGTGTCAGAAAACACAACCCTCTCTATTTTCCTCCATACCCAAATCTCTAAAAAAGGGGCTGCAACGGATCTGATAAAAACTGATCCAGATTTGAACACTGTCCTGACGTCAGGACGGTGGCGCTACGGCTATTGGGCCAACTCCACCAATCAGGAGGAGACAGCCACGGCCATTGCCGTTCGAAAGCGCTGGAGACGCTGTAGTACATATGCCAGGCCTGTAGGTGGTGCTGTTCTCACAGAATCAGCCCTTGCAAAAACAGAGCTAACATTTTCAAATTGAGCGAAATGAGGCATGGCTAAAATGCATGATCTGTTTGGTATTTTGAAAAAAAAAAAAGTATAAATATGCCTTATATAGGTATGGTCCTACACTATATTATTCAAATATAGCATGATAGGTCCACTTTAAGTACAATACTATAAAGGTACCTAACTTGTACCTATCTTCTTCCCTTCCTTCTTCCTTCCTTCATCCTTCCTACATCTCATTTCCTTACTCTCTTACTGTTCTTCCCTCATTACAACCTACCCCCTTCGTTCCCTATTTTTTAATCTGTTAATCCTTAACTCCATCCTTCCCTCATCTCTTGCTCCCTTCTTCGTCTTCTCTGTTCTTTTGGTCTCTTTCCTTCCTTCCCAACTTTCTTCATTCCTTTAAACTATTTTCCTGAGACACATCCAACGTTTTTAATCTTTGTTTTCATCGTTGATTGAGCGTTGAATGAATCTGATTCGCCGTCGCGCAGACAGAATCTGAACAGGTGTCTCTTCTCACGTTTTCATCTGATATGTTTTTCTCTAGTTATACCGTCCAGCAGCTGCATTGTGAATCTGTGAATATATTTCCACCCCCTTCACATCTCCCAGCATGCCTCGCCGTTGTGATTTACGGTTTAATCTGCCCAGGTCTCTGAAGGTCGGTGGATTAGATCCGGTCCGTGATGACGGGGACGGGTCGAGGTCGTCCGTCACGAGTCCTGACAGAAACAATGAAGGAGTGACCTGCTGACGGATTAAAGTTCAGATCTGCTGAAGGACCTCCTTTATGTATTCTTAGTAGCTGCGGTACACCTGGATCCATATCCTTCATACATGTTCAGATTCTATGTTTGTTTTCGGTCATTTGGTTTGTTTGGACTGTAATTAAATTATGTTGATTGTGTTTTCGGGGAGGTTTTCATCATCTGAGAGGCCTGAGGGTGTTTTAATCTGTACAGGTTGTAAACACACTTAAGGCACTTTTGATTTGTTGAACCAAAAGGGGCTGGACCAAGCCAGGGTTCAGACATCATACATTATTGAACTCAAAAGGGTTGGACCAAACCAGAGCAAAACACCAGGTAATACTCGACCAAACTTGCACTAAATTGTGGACAAAAGCATGACAAAAACACCAGATAATACCGGACCAAACAAGAAACAACAGATGAGACAATATTGAACCAATTTTCTGGACTAAACTACTGTATGGCGGAAATAAACAAGGACGAAACACCAGAGAATGTAGGACTGAAACAAGGCTGAAAGCTGGACC